GTCGTTCCTCTATAACGTTAGCTTTTTACTTCAGAAATTATACAGTGTGTTAATATGTGGAAGATTATACTGCTTAGCAAAACTTTTAATTATCATAAATGTGTGTTTGCCACAATTCTTATTTTAGGCAACTTTAAAAAATCCCATTGCATTCAAGGTCAGCCTACAAAAATCTGTCTTCCCTACACCGACTGCTTTTATGGAGTTTGATGCTTACCGTCTCCTTCCTGTAGATGGTGAGGATGCAGTGCATCATGTTCTTGTATCCTTTCCCCGCCTGGAGCCTCGTCTGCAGGAGGAAGAATAAACAGTTTCAAAACAAAATACATAAAAAATGTACAGATCAAAAACAAAAAACGCCTCACTTTAAGCTCATTGCTTCAGGATGGCGATTTTGCCTGAGTTACCACACATTAGGGCTGCACGATATTAGACGAAACTGACATTGCAATATTTTCTTCCCCAGCGATATATTGCCATGTGAAAAAAAACAGGAATTGAAGAAAAGACCGTTTTTTTGTCCGCAAACCATCCTTTCTTGAACTTCAATGTTATACAATTGGTATTTTTTTAACGATATTTAACCGGATGAAGGATTTTAGTCACGGACTTCTGGATCTTAAGTTATCAGAGCAACAAGCTGAGCTAGCTCGGTTATCCTGCTGTGATCTGATCAAGAATGATTGTGATTGGTGGTTTGCTGTGCGTGCAGATGTCACTCACTCAAGTACCCCTGACAAGTTTTCCTTTTGTAGCAAGCAGCAAAATAATTGTAACATGACGTGTTTGAGGGTTCATTTGCCTACTTAATCTCGCACGTCCTAAAAAAAATATATATATTGACTTTTTTTTAATTTAATTTTTAATCGCACGTTCTGCGATGTCAATGCATGCTCATAACGCGATTATCGACACGACACGATATATCATGCAGCCCTACCACACATCCTCCCATCATGAATTACTCTTAGTGGTAAAATAATGTGTTCTCATGGCAAAGCAACAATAAACTGTTCTTACACAACAACAAATAAAACATTGTGCGAGACAAACAAACATCTTCTGTAGGTTTCTGTTGTTACATTACATGTCACTTGTTAGACGTTTTTATCCAAAGCGACTCACATACTCAATACTGTGGACAATCCCCACAGGAGCAATTTGGGGTGAAGTGTCTCAGGGACACAACGACATGCTGACTGCAGTGGGGTTTGAACCTGTGACCCCCTGAATCCCAACACCAACGCACAACCCACTGCGCCACACGCCTCCCCCTGTAGTCTTTTATAAACATCTGTAACCCAGGAGCAGACCGTTTGGTAAAGATGTGTTTATATTATTCTCAGATACCTTCACCGTGTCCAGAGGATGACCCACAACCACACTGGAAGCTCCTGCAGACAAACAAAAAAACAAACAAACAAAGGACAACAATTAGTGCTTTAAAAATCTGAAGTGTTTGTGATAAGGACAAGCAGGGGTATTCTATAAAGATATGGCGCTGATCTTGTTTATGAGATATATCAATTCTGATAAGAACATGACGCCCGTATACAAGATGGCGCCGCGGACGTAAGCAACAACAACAACGTGACGTCGGAGCTCTGTAAAAACAAAGCTGCCTCTGCCGTCTGACGCTCTATTTGACAAGATATTTTTGAAGTAATTATACAGTTTTTGACGAACAGAAATATTGTTTTCTGGCATGACTTTAACATTTTGCGGGGAAAATCTGCATTTTGGTTTGAGGGTTTAGACTAAACACTGGGGAAAGGTTGTTTTTCCTTTTTTAGGATATAAAATACTGAAACGTAAATATATTTTATGATGGCTGTTTCAATATCACATTTTCTTATTATATTTTACAATATTTACTGTCTTAGAATCTCATTTTGCTTCCACCTGCGTGATTTTCTCAGATTCATTTTCACTTATAAATATGTAATTTGCGTTGTTTGAGGGAGTCTGAAATCATGGGACTGCTTCTATGTAATTGTGCATATTATAATAAAATAGTCTGTTTGTTTGTGTTGCACCTGTTGCCATTGAAATGTATCGGTGTGTTTCCTGTTGTGTGGGATGTAGAGTTTGGTTGTTTGCAGGGTACAGAAACACACTGTGCTGCCATCATGGGGCCTCCGGGGCGAAAACAAGCCTTTGTGTCCTGATTAACCCTGTGTGTGTGTGTGTGTGTGTGTGTGTGTGTGTGTGTGTGTGTGTGTGTGTGTGTGTGTGTGTGTGTGTGTGTGTGTGTGTGTGTGTGTGTGTGTGTGTGAATGTATGTTTGTATGTGTGTGTGTGTCGCTCTGTGTGTCTCTGTGTGTGAGAGTGTGTGTGTGTGTGTGTGTGTGTGTGTGTGTGTGTGTGTGTGTGTGTGTGTGTGTGTGTGTGTGTGTGTGTGTGTGTGTGTGTGTGTGTGTGTGTGTGTGTGTGTGCCTCAAAACTAACTACACAGCAACACATGAGCTCAGGATGTTTTCCACAGCATGAGGAGGAAAGAAGCCTCAAAAAAGTTGACTTGTAGAAAATTCAACATTTTAAAGTCTTTATAAACGAGGTTGCTTTTCTAAGTCTTTTCTAATATATTTAAATGTCAAAAGAAATCCGTAAATCTTCCCTAATAATGGGAAAATACTGTGATGATTCATCATATCGTGATATCTACAGATGTAACGCAATGATATATTCTGAAATTCCTATCGTGTTATATGTTGTGATTAAAATAAGAACACTTTATTAGTATGTTTAACAGCAGCTTTAACTGGACCAGAACGACTGTTTAGAGGAAATACCTGCCTCTAAACTGCCTGTTTGTCATCCTTTGTTTCTGCCTAGCAACAAACAAAAGAGCAGATTTATTTTCCTTTTTATGAATGAAGCCCCAAACACTGACACCAGATCAGTTTACAGACAAGAGGTGCTGCAGCAAACCATTTAAGACAAGATGAGATAAAGATAAAATAACATTGAAACTGGGATTAAGACTTTATTTAATCTGAGGGAACTTGTTGTTGAAAATATGGTCAACACAACTTTGTCTGTTTCTTGAATTTTGCATTTTGTGTTTATGTTTTTGCTCACTGCAATTGTTTCAATCAATTGAAAGCCATCATGTTACATGAACTTCTGCACCATTCACAACAGATCATCATCAGTTTATTTCATTCCACAACTTTCTTTCTTTGTGATCGTTTTAACAACATGTCCTCAGAGTCAGAGGCCTACTTTTCGTTTTTTTCACTAAAATCCAAGCAGCAGCGGCGCCCCTAGCGGCAGGACCTGTCCCTGCACCCACTCTCTTTAAACACGCTTTTTAAGTCAAATAGAAGTGTCTCCAATCCGCTGAGCAGTCACATGTAACACACCAACCATGGCTTTATCTCACTTCTGGGGTAAAACACTGGAGGTGTGTGTGTTTATCTATCTGTGTGAGGGGGGGTCTGCAAGCCCCCTTTGTCAACACAGCATGTTCTTCTGCAAAAGCACAAACATAGCAGCTTATGGGTGTTTTTAAACCTGTGTTCCTCCATGCACCGTAGCTATAATACTGCACCTTCTTTAATTTTACATTCTGCTTCGTGTTATTTCGTTTTAAATGAACATATTGTGCAACTTGTTTCAGGTATTGTAATTGTATGTTATCGTATGTTGCATTGTTGGAGGATGATTAACATGTTCCTTGCAAATACTACACTGCAGCAGTTGTGCAAATGGCAAATACAACCTTCATATCTTAATTAATTGTAATATTTTTGCAGCTTTAAAAACCCATTGAGTGCATGAACTCTCTGACACACTGGGAAACAGCCTTTCATTAATAGAAAGCTGGAAATAACTTGATGTCACTCACCGCCTATCAATCCTGCGATAAAGTCATCCATCCGAAAGCTCTTGGAGGTCTGCATCTTCTCTCCGAGACCTTTCACTTCCCGCCTCTCATCAACTCTCTTCCTCTCTCTTCCTCTCACACACTCAACAGTTTGGTGTTTTATTCACAAAGTATCCGACAGATCTGTTTCTGAGAGCACAGAAATAGATACTTCAGAGTGACTGCTTTCATACGAGAACTACTTTAGCAGGTTGGCAGCAGCAGCCAATCAGAGCAGAGTTCCATTCTGAAGGAATGTGTTAGCCAATCAGGGGAGAGCTATCCACAGCCACACAGCCTATGGATGAGAGGGATGGAAATGAGCCATGAGACTGAGACTGTGATACACTGTACATCTCATAAAGGAGCCTAAACTCTGTGTTTCAAAGTCAGTACTTTGTTGGTTTAAATACACAGTATTATACTGTGTATGAAATACACATTAGAAATAGATGTCATTTTTATCATTGGGCTACATAAATAACACTTGATGATTACTATTTATCCCACATTTTGTGTAAGGCAATTCACATGAGGTAATATATATGAACATATGAAAAGCAGAAATATAAGTACAGAGGATACAGTACAGACACAATGTTTAAAATATAGAGTATAAGTGAGACTATACTGTGATAGAGACACCAATCAAACATATGTACCCTAAAATAACATATATATTATGTACCAGTAGCATTATTTATACACACACGCACGCACGCACGCACACACGCACGCACGCGCACACACGCACGCACGCACGCACACACACACACACACACACACACACACACACACACACACACACACACACAGGGGGCCCCATGATGTCAGCCAAGTTTAACCGTTGTGTGTTTCTGCACCTTGCAAATAACTGGGTTAACAACAACAAGAAAACATACAATAAATATATAAAAAAATACATATTTAAATACTCAAAGACATCGGCTGACATTGAAAAACTTAAATCGAAAATATATACAGGTCATACAAATACATACATATAATGTTAATAACAACAAATACATAAGGTCAAATGTTTTGTTTGTTTTCCGTTTTGGTCCCTTATTTATTTCATGTCATTTATTATTTATTCATTTGTAAAAGTATAAACATTAGCAACAGTCTCTCTAGTATTTTTCCAAAATGTCAATACATTCCACTTTGAAAGACACACAAAAAACAACAACAACAACAAAACGTATGATGACAAGAATGCAAAAATACATATTTAAAGACTTAAAGACATCGGCTGATATGAAATCACTTCAATTGAAGTATATAGAGTTAATACAAATAATTGTTCATATAATTTAATCAATAATACATAAATAGCATTAAATATTCATTTTTTAAATTTCTGTTTTGTCCCCTTATTTGTTTTATCTAATGTATTAGTATAAGACTCCAAAACGTTGTTACACTCTTGTTCATGCTGTCGGGTTATTCTTTACTTGTAACAGAGTATTCCTACACTTTGGTCAGGGTAGGATTTTCACGGCGGCCATGACGGCCACAGTATATTCCTTTATATATAGTCTCTATGGTATATTCTCATCGCTCCAACCGCTGGAGTTTCACCGCGGCTGTCAGCTGTGTTTACTCCTGTCATTCAAACAGGACGCGCTGGAGAGGGGGCGGGGCTTATTTCCATGTAAATACTGTGGTGGAAACCAACTACGACAAAATGAACCGATTTTNTTAAACAGAAAATGATTGTTTTCTTCTTCTGTCTCAGCGCAGACTGATCCGTGTTCCCTTTTTGGTGGCTTGCAGGCAAGAAGGTCATATTATATGTTTGGGATCAGTCTGCGCTGAGACAGAAGAAGAAAACAATCATTTTCTGTTTAATTAAGGCTCTTTATACCCCTTTGTTAACGTCACATCTGTATCTACATTGACATCTTTAAATATTAATTTAATTGCGTTACTAGAACTTAGCTAAGTTTAAAACAGGACGTCCTGTGACCTGCAACCACCAAATTAAACTTTTAGTCACAATGTGGTCTTTATAAAATCATTTAAAAGTAAGATCTGTGCAGGATTAACATTTTAATTAACGATTTTATAAAAGGATGTGACATTTTCAACACACCTGAATCTAAATCTAACATTTGTTTTAGCTTTCAGTGTTGATTTGTTTGTTTCAATTAAGCTTTCACTTAAAGGTGACCTATCATGCAAAATGCACTTTTGTATGTCTTGTATACATGAACATGTGTCCCCGGTGTTCCAGGGAACTCACCAAGTGTCAGAAAACACAACCCTCTCTATTTTCCTCCATACCCAAACCTCTTAAAAAGGGGCTGCAACGGATCTGATACAGACTGATCCAGATTTGAACACTTCTATGACGTCACAGAAGTGGCGCTACGGCTATTGGGCCAACTCCACCAATCAGGAGGAGACAGCCACGGACATTGCCGTTGGAAAGCGCTGGAGACGCTGTAGTACATATGCCAGGCCTGTAGATGGTGCTGTTCTCACAGAATCAGCCCATGATGCAAAGACAGTGTTAAATTGAGCGAAATGAGGAATGGCTAAAATGCATGATCTGTATTTTGAAAAATAAAAAGTATAAATATGCCTAATATAGGTATGGTCCTACACTATATTATTAACATATAGCATGATAGGTCCACNNTACGTGAAGTAATTTGACCGTGCTTTAGTTCCTTTATAGCCCAACATTAGCCAAGGTCCACTTTAATTTCAGTTGTTTACTTTTTTGCACATTAATGAGAAAATATATGTTAATTATTCACTCTTAATCAGTGTGTTAACCCATTTCAATTCGTACCTTAACTAGGTGAGTTTGCAATGAACTAATGCTCTTTGTGTGGTTTCACAATGTGAATTGTTGCCTTTAAATGCACATGGACTGAATGTGCATCCCTTGTTGCTGCCACTTTTAAATATAATTGTTGTGTTTCTTATATTAAGAAAAGTTAGTTATCACAATACCAATAATACAGGTGCATTGATCCAGATACATATAAGCCACTCTGTTACATGTTATTGCTTTATAAGGCAGCATAAATGTTTACTTATTAATATCAACATAATTTACAGCACAACGTTTCACCTTAGACTGAAAATCTTTACGTTTATAGATTAAAAAACACATAGTAGTTGTTGAGAAGTTATGCCTTTGTCAGACAATCATAATAGACCAAAAGTCTTTTTATATATAAATTAATAATAAATATTCAAAGAAATATATTTGAATTTGTATTCATGTCATGTACATACTTGTAAATATGTATACTGCCATTCCACTTGATGGAGAGACTAAATTGTCATATTGTAAATATATAAAGATTTTAAACGCGAGTGTTTCTCTGAACCTTCCCAGAACGATGTCAGTGACAGCGTGGTGACAATGAGCTTATCTGTTATCTGTAGTGTTTACATGTTGTTGGTTTTCATGTTTGATCTCAGCCTGGGTAGGCCCTCTGCCTGCAGACAGCTGATAACAGGTCACTGTCAGAAGCACTGTCTGTTGGTTGTGTAGTGTCACACAGTTTCCACTAGAGGTCAGCGCTTCACAACACAAAGTCACACAGGAGTTTATTACCTGCTCTGTCTGTGTCTCTGCATTCAATCTGGTGTTTATATCCACTAAAAACTGTATATACATATGTGTATGTACAGTGATAGAGTTGTACATAAAACAAATGTGTACTATCTATATGTTATATAGTATAATATGTCTATAGAGGTTCATATTATAGTTAGTCTAGAATAAAATATATGAGTCATAGTATATCAAAATGTCCTCAAACGTTTATAGAAAAGTCAAAGCGTTGTATGACAAAATAAAGTAATGTAAGTTTAATATAAGAAATGACAGTTTAGGACGTCGTAATATAAAAAAGAGAATTCATTATATAGTGTGTTGAAACAATTATACAAAAAGGCATAATAGTAGTATTACAGTTATAGTATTTTATGTCTGTAAAAATAAAATGTATAGTATGTCGGAAAAAACGAATTGGAGAGTTCACGTGTTACCAGACAGTTCTGTTATCCAGAATCCATTAATCGGCCGCATGCTTTGGTTTCGTCCCGATGAAAGTAATGCCTTCATTTTCTTCCAAAATCTTTATTTTTTATTTAATTTAATCGTTTATTTGAACCGGGACATCGATGAACACTTTCAAACAAAACAATGCTTACAAGCGTAAATGAGCCGGATTTTAGCTTTGAGCTCATTTCCTCACATCCAACATATAAGAACATGACATTTATATACAGAGCAAAAATAAATACATGACATGCAGAAAGATCAAGAGCAGCATACAAGCATTAACCACAAGGCAGTACAATATAGCAGCAACGACATATAAAGTGATAAGATACAAGAGCTACATAAAGTGCCAGTCCATGTAAACATTTATAAAAAAAGCACATCTTTTTAAAAAACTTCAAATTGTCAAAACTCAAGAAATTGTGTTTCTCTTGGTTGGTGCAGTGGTGGTATGGATGTGGCTTTCTGTCAAACACCTGGATAGCTCTCTTGTACAGCTGTTCTATGGGTTTCAGGTTTGTGGCACGAGCAAACGGCCAGTTTGTAAACCAGTATTCAATGTGGGATAGAATCATACAGTGGAGGTATGACTTTGCAGCATTGACAGTTAAGAAAGGTCTAATTTGTTTAAAATGTTGCAAGTTGAATTTAATGGTATTGGATACTTTCTTATATATTTCTTAAAAGTCAAGTTCTTTTTACATTGTTTAGATTTTGTCCAGCTGACTTTGTCATTGATAATTGGTTTGCATAAAGCTGCACCAGCTCCTTACGTACAGTAGGTGGCAGTCATGTCCAGAGCAATATAAAATACACTGATTTTAATGACATTATTACTGCTTTTAATACGTGATACAATCAAACACGTGTCATCTTCTGGATTTTTTACTCCAGTTACAGTACATTTATTGATTTATTACGGTTAGGGTTAGGTTGTTATTACTACAGAAGTGTTTCTAAGTGTGAAATAGGGGAGTTAAGTACAGAAATGGATCCTTTCCTAACCCTAAAGCCCTGACAATTGCGTGGCTGTTATTTTAACCAGGTGAGAATACATATTTATTTTCTTCAACTCACTGTTTAATTTTTTTGACTTGAAAGCAATGCCTTACTTTCGATACTTCAGAGGATAATGTTCTAATAATAAA